GTTTCCCAACAAAAAGAGAATTGTTAAAGGACATTTTGATTATTCTGAATTGATTACTATATATTATGAATATTATATGTAATATTTATATTCAGTGAATAAGTATAATTCAAATGTCTAACATTAAATATATGTGTTAAGAGATTGTTTTAACTACTGCTACATTTTTTTCATTCATCAGGATACCATTTGAAGCTGGAATATTTAGATGTGGAGAATGTAGACTAATATGAAGAATATGTTTTCATTTCCATATAAATTGGTCTGAACTTTCATAAAACAATTAACTAAAAAAACTCAAAATAATTAACAACTTACCTTCTGACAGTGAATTTATGTAATAAAACACATAGACAAAAGAGATGCTTAGGTTTCAGTAAGCCATTTTAATTTATAATCTTATGTATTTTTGAGAATTTCTTGAGTACAATATATTTTTATCATACCCACTCCCCCCTACTCCTCCCATGACCCCCCCACATCTGGCTCCCAGGTTCATGTCACTCTGTATCTATTTGTAGAACTTGTCATAAGAGATTTAGGATATGTGTTATACTCCTCGGGTATGTATTCACTCTTATTTCCTTTGGGAATTTTAATGAAAAAAAGTTAGGACACATCCCTCAATTATTCATGACTCGCATCTAAAAAACTAAAAATGTGCACAGAAAACAACCCAAATGATTCATTACTTGTAATCACATAATAATAATAATTTGAGAGGGGAAATTATAATTCTCTGCTTCTTTGGACTTTAAGACTCTAAAGTCTTACATACCCGTGACATTTGTTGTCTATCATGGTTTTATAGTGAAAGACAGTTTTCTCATCTTTCTTTTTTTCCAAAACTTTTGCTGATACTTGTGAGAAACTGGTAATCTCCTTCTTTCCTTTTTTTAGTGTACATGGCCTGGTTTTCCACAATGCACAGAGGCTGATATTCCTCTACGTATAGTTGCTAATTCCCACCATTCCCAGCCCATGTGCGGTCAGAACACTCCTGTCACTAGAAAGCCTTCAATGTATCGTCTAGCAATCTGATCAGGGTATACTCAATGTCCCTCGATGACTATTATTACCCCGTGGTAAGGAGGTGTGTTCATATACCCAGATTTCTGTACTTTATAAGATAGTAGTATTGTTCTTTATTTTAAAAAACTGGACCCCAGGAAGCTTAATGAGAGTAGAATAGCCTGCTTGGTATTTATCCTTCAACTGCCCTGTTTCACTTCCAATAAACATTGCATGCAGTGTGCTCACAGCCTGAACCCAGAATCCTCTTCTGATGGAATGCACATTCTGAAAGCCTTTCCCATAGCATCAGATGAAGAGATATTCAGGTAGATAATGACTGTTGATAGGGGCCCAGGCATGAAAACAAGTAAGTGGGTTTAGGGTTATCTGTGGATGTAAACTATCTGTATTTTCTTTTGAAAAGAAGCCATTGTTATTGTTAACAAATGCTGATATCTTCGTCATTCAAACTGAAACAAATAAACAAGGAACTCTCCCTAGATTTTTTCCTGCTCCCAATACAAATAAATGAATTTTGTTTTTCACATTAATATATTATTCTGTCATAATCACTTATATTCACAACACAACTAATTAGCAATAAAAACATACTTCTTTTACTGTGTCTTAACATGTTAGAAAACATTATTAAGTGAGCAGGTCTCAATAGCTAGGTTAATTCGAAACAAAATTTTCTTTTAAGAGAAGGTTAAATACCTTATCGCATTTTTGAAATGTTTTTGCAGCATATTTGGAGCATAAAAGGTCTATCATACAGAGCATTAATAAATTGGAAATTTTTGTTTCTGTAGACCAAGGTGGCCTCGAACTCATAGAGATCCACCTCCCTCTGCTTCCTGAGTGCTGGGATTAAAGGAGCGCACCACCACCACCACCACCTGGTCTTTTAAAAATTTTTTTTTGAGTTGACATAAAATGCAGACAATAGGTAATATGCATATTTTATTTCTGTTTTAACAGGATTTTTAGAGACATATATAATACGAATGGTGTGAAGTAGTATTTAAAAAATAGTAATGCATAATCTATACTGAGAAATGGCATGTGATTTAGCTGAACCTTGTAATAAACTTCAACAATTAGTTTGTAGCTAATAATACTCATTCCTAGCCAGATTTCGGTATCTTAGTCTTCATGTTATAAATCTCATCTTGAGTGACAAGCAGCACAACTAATAAATCCAGAGAGAGTAATGAGGGTCAAATGACTACCATAAGAATATAGCATGGCGCTACCTCCATAAGCACTGCACTGGCTAGTTTTATGTCAACTTGACACTAGCTAGAGTCATCAGAGAGGAGGGGATCTCAATTGAGAAAATGGCTCCTCCCCAAGATCTTAGTGTTCACTGTGGGAGGGACCAACCCATTGCGGGTGGTACCATCTCTTGCTGGGTGGTCCTGGGTTATATAAGAAAGCAGGCTGAGCAAGCCATGTGAGCAAGGCAGTAATCTGCATCCCTCCATGGCCTACCTCCAGGATCCTGTCCTGTCTGAGTACCTATCTTGACGTCCTTCCTGATGAACAATGACATGGAAGTGTAAACAAGTAAACCGGCTCATCCCCAGGCTGGTTTGGTTATATCAATCCAGCAAAAGGAACCCCAACTAAGACAAACACATAGAAACTCAGAGAGCCATTTTCACATGGCAATGATAAATACTTTATAACCTACTTCAGAAATTTTGTAGTTTAGAATTCTGTTCATTTCTAAGCTTTCACACGTTCAATGCTCCCCTCTACCGAATGTGCTGCCATGGTTTAAGGTATCTAGAGCTATCCTTTGTTGTTCATCATCTGTCATTTTCACTGCCTCAAACCAACCTAATGCCAAATACCAGATTTTTCTGAGTTTCCATTTAAAACGGTCCTCACATATTTGTGCGCACATCATGGAACACCACTTGCACAATAGCTGGCATCTGATTTTTGTTACCTTGACTACCACATACTTATTTCAAACACTGTTTTTCTTCACCCCAGCTCCATAATTTTATCCAGTTTTTTTTAAATAAATACTCTGTTTGGGTCATAAAAGCATATCATGGTTTTTTTTTTTTTTTACCACATAATGGAAATTCTGGATTTTTGGTCATTGACCATTATTAACATATGACTTACATGCTTCCTCTTCTTTTTAGCCCTCAGCCCATCTTTGTTATTTTCATTCGAGACAAATGTGTTTTTCACACTTCTGATGAACCATGAGCCCCACAAGAGTCCTTGTTCTCTTCCTCCTCCATTGCTTGCATCACTGCAAGAGCACCTCAAATCCCCATGCCTCCTACATGGTGCTTCCAGCAGTGAGTCAGGAGTAGGTTTAGTATTCTTTTCCAGTCCTCTTTTCAATCTATCTGATTGATTTTTTTTTCTCCTCCCTGCACCAGATGTATGCAGCACATTCTTTGTTAGGCTACCACATAATCACACTGAAGTCCCTTTTATGTTAGCTTAGCCCTCTTTTAAGTGAGGCTCTCTGGCAGAAGAATATAAAATTAACTCCTTTCTGGCAGTCGGGTGAATATGTGCCTGATATTGTGCATCTGAGAACATATACCACAAGTATGGCGTCTAAGAATTAAGGGAGTCCAGAGTTTCAATCCATGTTTTAAACAGGAAATAACCGGAGGCTCTAAGTACAGCCGTCAGTGCTCAGGATGACAAAGTGTCCAGTCTGAAAGACCCAAGATTGAATTAGTAGCATGCTGGTTCTTAATACTAGGTGACTTTGGATAAATTACTAACATTCAAAACAAAACTGCCTCACAAAACGGGACAGTACTACTACAGGCTGTACCGAGGGCAATGAAGAGCGCGTCTAGTGGGAAACATTTAATAAGTGACAACAAGTTAGGATTTTTCCCCCCGTGGCACACTGTCAGAACAGCTTGGGTGGGTTTGAAGTCAGTTTTTCAGAGGCTTGGGCTTTTCCCCTAACCTGGGTACCTAGCATCAGGATCTAATTAAACTACTAACTTGATGTATGACCTTGAACAAAACATTCACCGAGTCACTTTCCTCATCTATAAAAGAAAGGACTTGATTAAGGAACCCCTAAGGTCTTTGCGGATGCTCTAGCTAGCATCGTTACATCGCTCCCCCGCCCCCCGACCCGGGAAAGCTGAGGTTCCTGAAGCCGCTTGAAGCTCTATGCACATCGTGGGTACTCAGATGCCTGCAATCGCGCTGTGTGAGGCTGTTATCAGCTCTTGCCTCTTTGGTTTGCCTCCCGGGTCTGCGTGGAGACCACATCTCGCTTTATTTATTTATATCCGGGCGTGCTCCCGAAAGCACCTAAGGCGCCAAGAACGCCTAAGTCCCCGACGGTGTCATAGGGGTGCGAGAAAGAAACCCTCTGGTGACACCTCCCTTAGAAACCCGCCTTCCCGGAGATGCTAAGGAAAGCCTTTTGCCCAACTCCCCGCGTCCCGGCTGGGCTTCGGCTCCCCTGCCCCAGCCGTCCACCCCTCCCCGCGGTCACTCAGACGCCCTTCCCGGACTAGCCCGAACTGTCACCACCGAGTCCCAGCTGGACCAGCATCCCGCCCGCCTCCGTCTCTCGCCTCTCATTGGCTGGCGCCGCCGTCACTCCCCGCACCAGGCTCCGCCTCCCCGCCTAGCGCGTTTCGTGGACCCCCTCGGTTTCCGCGGCAAGCCGCTGACGTTTGCCTGAGCCGTGTTGCCTGGGCCCCCGCGACCTTTCACCCCGCCTCCCCGCGGGAGCGCCCCGGCCGGCTCCGCGCCCCCGCCGGCCCCGCGCGCGCCCCCGCCCGCCCGCCCGCCCGCTCGTTCGCCGTCCCGCGCGCGCGCGCGCGCTCCCGCCCGCCCGCGACCCCGCAGGCGGAGACTCCGGCGCGGAGGCCGGCCCCGCGCGGCGGCGCGTGTGGGAGTCGCGGCCCCTCGCGGCCCCCGCCCGCCCGCCGCCCCCCACGCGCGGGAGACACGATGAGCGCGGGCGGGCGGCAGCGGCGCGGAGCAGCGCAGGCGGCACACGCGCCCAGGCAGCGGCGGCGGCGGCAGCAGCGGGAGCGAGCGCCGCGTTAGCCGGGTCCGCCGCTCCGGCCGCCCGCCGCCGCTCCTCCTCCTCCCGCTCATTCACTCGCCCTCCTCCCGGCCGCCCGCCCGCGCCTCCTCCGCTCATTCACTCCCGCTCTGCCCGCCGCTTTCTTCTCCTTCTTCACCCTCCGGCTCCCACACCCCCTCCATTCCCGCTCCTAGCCGACACTGCACTGCAGCTGCTCCGCGCCCTGCCCCCTCCCCAGTGAGCACATCAGCCACACTGCTCGCCGCCTCAGACTGCTATTGATCCGATTAAAGAAAAAAAAAAAACCTTAGCAACCCCAAACGCAAAAAAAAAAAAAAAAGAAAGAAAGAAAAAAAAAAGAGAGAGACAGAGAGGAAAAAAAAAAAAAGCCAAAACAAAAGGGAGCCGCTTCTCCCGGTGCAGCGGCAGGAACTGCAAGCATGATGGCGGCAGCTCCCATCCAGCAGAACGGGACCCATACGGGGGTTCCCATAGATCTGGACCCGCCGGACTCGCGGAAAAGGCCGCTAGAAGCGCCCCCTGAAGCCGGCAGCACCAAGAGGACCAACACGGGCGGTGGGTATCGCTTCCGCCTCCCGCCCCGTCCCCGCCGCCCTCCCGCGCCGTGGCCGCCGCCGCCGCCGGCCGTCCCGCGCCCCCTCCCCTGCACCTGCCCCGGCCCCGTCTCATCAAGATGGCGACCCGGGGTTCCGAGCCGACCCGCTCGCCCCAGCCGGTGCTGGCCCCGGCGACAGGGTCCGCTCCCGAGGCCGCCCCCCGCGAGAGGTGATGGCCGCCCGAAGATGCGCGCTGCATTTAACAGTCTGATCAAATAAATAAATAAATGGCACTCGGGTAGCGGCTTCCAGATGCTGGGGGCACCGGAGACTTTTGCCTCTGTCCATCCCCTTGCTCTGGGCCACAAGTAGTATGCAAAATCTTGATGAGTGCATGCCCTGAGCGCACTTACAGGGTCGGTACAAATATCGCATTGATTTGTCTTCAAGGGTATGCATACGAGGGGGGTGTCTGGTACGGTGACTTGTTAGTTAACATCCTGCGCTTCCTCGGAAGATGAGTTATAACGGGACCGCTATCGCTTCTTCATTTGCACTGGAGTCATCTTAACAATGCATCCAATGCATCGAAGCAGAGGTGAATTTATCTCCAGCCTATACGTTAGAAATGGATGGGGGTCTTGTGAGTGGCACATCGCAAAATTCGGAATACTCGTTCACAGCAAAGAGCTGGATTTACCGAGAAGTTTCCTATTTAAGACGTGATCAGGTTGACGGGAACTAAAGTTTATGGAGTTGGCTTTTATTTTCTGAAACGTTTCATTTTTCTTTTTCATGGCTCATCGACCCCCCTCTCCGTTTTACGGTTCTTTTGGAGAGGGAGCACTATCTGTTTGGTCACTTTGGAGTGTATTTAGGATAAATAACTCCTAAGCTTTTTAGTATTGGCGAGATTCTTCGTAAGGTCTTTTAATTAATGAGCTTAGACGAGATCATAGTAGACTTAGAAGTGCTACGGAAATACATCAGGATTACTTAGATTCTCAGTCCACCAGACTGAGGCTCCCCCTCCCACCCCCGCAGTTTCTCAAGGCTTAGAATAAACCCTACAGTTTGGGTGGACTATTTTGCAGGAAGATGGTTGTTTTGTATACTTAAAGTCGGATATAGTCAATGATTAATTGTAGTCTTTTATGCTTGCTATGATAGAAAAATTTAGCGGATCACTCTTTACAGTGTTGGATTTTTTTCTCATCTTCAGCATGCTAAGTGAAGGTTTGTCATCTTCTAAATCTCTGAAGTTTTGTTAAAGGGTCAGTTTCTTTCATTTTGCCATAGTAACGACAAATTTGGAAGACTTTCAGGTTTGGAGTAACACTGGAATTTACTCATCAGTTTCTACAGTGTTGCAAATTGGTAGGGCATGTGAATCTTGAAAACTGGAAAGGCTTTTGTAAATACTTGTTTTTCAGGGTAATTGGTGGTTTTCGTTCCTTAAGCATTTTTAACTGCTGTTTTCTGCAGCTATCTGCCCATTGCTTTAGTTGCTGTTGTCTCTCTGGAGGGTGGATTGGGATTCAAAGTTTAAAATGATCATGTTAATCCAATGTATTTCTTTGCATTTTTCAGAAGACGGCCAGTACTTTCTAAAGGTTCTCATACCTAGTTATGCTGCTGGATCTATAATTGGGAAGGGAGGACAGACAATTGTTCAATTGCAAAAAGAAACTGGAGCCACTATCAAGCTGTCGAAGTCCAAAGATTTTTATCCAGGTAGGTGAAATGCTGAAGAAATTGTTTGACGAATCCCCACGGAAAAACATGGAATATCTACTTGTGCTGTGTGTTGTCTTAAAGAAAAATTTAAATGGTGGAGATTTGAATGTTACTACATTAGCATCCATTGTGGAAAATTTTTCAGCTTATTTTCATTGTTGTTCGGGTTTCTTTTAACCATTAATTGATACACTGTGTATATGATTTAGAGTAATTGCAATAGAATTCTCTGTGTGTTAAGCACAAAAACTTAAAATTAGAGCTAGAAACCTGGGCAGTTGGCATGAGGGGATGTGGTGTTTCAGAAGTTTACAGACATCATTGTAATGGCAATTAGTTAGGAGTGAATTCAGAGGAGGGGGTAGGGAGGCTTCTTAAAGAATGGACCATTTACTTCTGAATCCATTATCTTCCTCTTTCTGCTTCATTGCTTTGTTTGCTGGCCTTGGATGAAGGAAAGAGGACAAGGGCTGTCTCTCCAGATATTTAAAATACTCCAGTAATGTAATCGGGATACAAAATTTCCTCCAGAAGTAAAATAGTGTTTTAGGGTTTGTGTTGAGAGCCGTATTTAATTGAAATACTTTACAGTGTGGATCAGTAACCTGCTGGATTGCGGCAGGTTCCCCAGGTTGATGTGGGGATTTTGCTTTTTATCTTTTTTGCTATGGTTTGTTTTACTTTGGGGCTCCCTCCCTTTGTGTCACACAGTTCTTCATGTTCATCCTTCCCCCCCCCTCTTTAGTTCTGTTACTCAATGTATGTGTTTTAAGTAATGGAATCACGGTGGAGTAGTGCAACCCCAGATGAAACACCATTAGTTTGTTTGCTTGACTTAGATCTAGCCCTCGGTAATTTCGGGAGGTTGTTTTAATTTGATGACTGTAAAAAAATATTAATTCAGTGCTGAGGTGAGCTATACTAGTTATTCTTTTTTCCTGATGGAAAAGAAAGCAGTTTTGTTTCATAGATTAATTCACCAGCAGCTCCTTCGTACAGCACACACTGGCATGGACACTGGCTCCATCCCAGGAGGACTTCTTTTCCACAGCTGATCATTTGTGGTAGAGACCGGCCATTTACTGGAGAAGAGTTTGGAATGGTTGATGCTGTACTAGTTGAACACAGTACTTTTTTGGAAAGATGCTGTTTATTAAACTAACATGTAACCTGTTAGATACTGGGGCCCTCTAAAGTTTGTCGGTGCCTCTCCTTGTCTAGGAAACTTTCCTGATGCAGTTGGGAAGTTTAGCATATTCATGCTGGTGTATTGAACAGGTATATTATAATAAAAATCAGTGTGGAATTGTGAAAATACTTAGTTGAAATAAAAGCACTCAAAAGAGCTTGATTGCAGAATTAATAACATGATAGTTCTAGGAAGAGCTGCTGTGGCAAATTAAACACTCAGTCAATAGATGAAAATGAAAAGGCTTCTCTGCATTATACATGAGGTACTGTCAGATATGGAGGGGTGTTACAGAAAATTGATGTTTAGCCAGGATCTTCCAAATACCAAATTAAATGCCCTTTCATTTGAATGCAGTTTATTTTTCTGTGTGTTGGAAAGGGTGCACTAAGAAATAGATCTTTTGTTTCTGGTTCACTTATTTTCACATCTTTTTTCTTGTTACCTGGAAATTACTTATTTTATTTATGGTTTGAAGATGTTATTTATAGCTATATGTATCAAGATTGTTTTGGGAGGGGGGAAATGTGAAGCTGCAATGCTTTGAATAAAATCTTGTAAGTGTAGTGACGTAACCTGATCAAGTACGAGTTACAGCATCGGCTAAAGGGTGGCTTCTTCTTGGCCTCTTAACAGGTGGGAGGCAATATGTACTACGATACAGTTTTAAGGAAAAGACAAATCCCTATAGTTTCTAAGAATTCTGAATAGTTTGTTTGAAAATGTGATCTTAATGCAACAATTAGCTCTTTGGGCAAACACATCTACAGTCTTCAGATAGACTTATTTTCCTGTGCTTTCTGTTCACACTTGACTAGAACCTGTAAAATTATCTAGGGTCTCAACAGTCGTCAGTCTAAAAGCCTTTGAGGTTTTGTTTCTGTCCTTCTTATACATGACAGACACTGTGCACATTCCCAGATGAACTAAATTATAAGCCGTGATTCCTACCATTGAGTTAGTTCCAAAGAATGTCCTATAGGCTTTTGCAGTGATTTAGCTGCCCATATTTATGTCTCTCAGATAAATACAACCATAGGCACATTAACATGTATTTATGATTGCCGTGTTCTGCCAAAATGAATGTTCCTGGGTTTATTTCAGAGAAGCATTTTTCTTGTTCTTGTTTGATTAGAGTATATTTGTGGTAAAATTGCATTTCAGTTGTAGAAAATACTGAATTTACTCATTACCTAACATTTGAAATCAAATGTAAGTGTATTGCTAAGCATTTAGTAAAAATACTAATGTAATTTTCAAAACTTTCTCTAGTAGGGTTAACGCAGATTGCAGTTAACCTTTACAACATTTTATACACCTAACTCAAATGATGGACACATACTAAACATTCGTAGCTAATATGATATCTATAGGTGTGTTTGTCTTTTTGGTCAGATTGTGTCTTTGCCATATCGGAAAGCAACCCTACATTTCTGATTGATGATTTCTAAGCTTTAGTCAAATTGAAGACGACAAAATAAATTGTATAAATTTAAAGTTTTCACAGATAAATATTGTACGTATTTCAGTGTGCCACGTATGAAGTGACCAGGGGAACTGTATAATGAGTAGTTGAGAAGTGCATTTCAATGACTGGAATCAGAAGAAAATGATCTACAAGTAGATTTTACTTTGTGTTCTATAGATTCCTTCTACATATTGATTTCCTCAGATTTAATCTTACAGGATACAGACTTTCCATTGGTGGTTGAGGAATGTAGTTTTTTTCTAACTTGATTAAAGAAATCTAATTTGACTTATTTATGTATTCTTTTGTAAGTAGGTTACGTAGAGCTGCTTGTGGTAAAAAGCAGTTTTCTCGCTGTAGAGGTTGAATTGCTGTCTCCATCCTCAGAAGGATGGTTAGTGTTAGTGCTGCTTTCTAATTCCTTTGCCTGTCATCTGAAGATGTTTTATTTTCATTAGTAGATTGATTTTTTATCTGTTAAAATTTAATACAGGGTTCAAGTTTGTTATTAAGGAAACTTATTGAATACATTCATTATTGGTTGGGAATAGTAAAGAATATAAATATTTTCATGTGTGCCTTGAGTATTAGAATACCTACCCCTTAATCTGTTTCTGTTCTTTGGCACTAGAGACATCCCATGTGCCAATCAAACAGGACTCTTTTACTATAATGTGGGAATCCATTCCTGTGTATTCTATATTGTTTTACTATATATGCTTATAAAACAGAATCATTTTTAATATAAAGTATTACTTTTTACATTAAATTAAAAATTTGAATGTGTTGCTTCTAGGTTCATCAAATTATGACTTCAGTGATATCCTATTAAGGTGATTTTTTAAAAGAAAAATTAGAAGTCATTTGTCCACTTATTTATTTTTAATAGTGAAAAAGCAGACTGTAAGTTAAAATTCTTTTAGTGAAGAAACTGCATTGCACCACTTTTGTTTTGACATGGGTAAAATACAGTTGTTTATTTAACTCTTAGGGTTGAAAATATGTAAGAAATATATATATGTGTGTGTATATATGTACATATACTGAGAAAATAGATTTTAAAGTCAATGTTTTGTTTATGCTTCTGAGGGAAAAGGATTATGGTGATATCAGTAATGAATACCTTGTGGATATCATTTTTCTCACAGCTTCTTCAGAGTTACAAGCCATGCGTTTTTCTTTGATCTCAGTTTCAAAATGTCTTAGAAATTTATTGATACGCATTATAACGCAAGATCAGTGCATTGATAGAATGGTAACACATAGAGAAAATAAATTCTTTTGCTCTCAGAACTTGTTGGTTGGTGTAATGGGGTTACCACTCTCTGCTGTTCTGATTTCATTGGCACCAGAGAGTTGCTGTGTGGGAAGTATTTTTCTCTATCGTCTTAAAGTTGTGATGTTCATGTTTGATATAGTATCTACTGTTGTGGGTGACTCATATTTCACCTTTCCAAATCCTTAGGTAAGGTAAACATACTGTTCACATAGACAATAATATTGCTTGCAACTTTGCTTTATTCCATTTTTAATACTTTATTTTCATATTTTAACAGTAGGGATTCTTTACACGTGAAAGAATATTATTGGTATGCTATAATATTTATGAACATATAGTAATTCTTTTTATACTATCTCATGAACCCAAACACTTTGAGGCTGTGGGCTTCTAGAAATATGAATTAGCATAACATGCTTTAGGTGTCTTCTTTATCTGTTCACTTTAATTTCATTTGACATTGGATCTTCTACCACTGAATTAGCAAACTGTTAAAAATCTTTAGCTTATAGTATTGATGTTTTCATGAGTTTTATGGCACAATGCCACTTTAAAATGTGTTATTTGAGCCTTCTCCATTTTAGAAACAGCTCATTAGAAATATGTGACTTTATAAGAGAGAATCCAATATTACCTTGCAGACAGCATGGCACATGATTTCCGAAATAGTGAACAGAATTGGTGAAATAGTTGAATATGTGTTTTGGGGATGCTTCATATTAATATACCAGGAAGAAAAGATGATCCATGGCATAGAAATGCTAAGTAATTTGTGGTATCGCAGGAAAGCCCTAACAATAAACCACCAGTCAACCACTTGCATATCATTATAATTACTTATTTTGATGTAGCCAATACGATGATTATTTTAATTTAGCTTATGCAAGTATCATTTATCGAGCACATTATACCACCTGTAATTTAAACTTCAGCCTCTTTTATCAAACTATGGGGTTCAGTCTTAGTTGCTTTTTGTTTAGTCAAGCTTTAAAGCCCAAGCCTCAGGAGCAAGTGCAGTTCTCAGTGTAAAGCTGGAGGGAAGGTGGTGGGGATTCGTGCTT